TAATAATAATAATAATAATAACTAGACAAACTAGTACCAGTAATTAACAATAATGATATTGATAACAATAACTAGAAAGTAGAAAGGCTTGCAGTAGATTTATTTGTCACACACACACACACACACACACACACACCACGCACGCACACATTAAACACATGTGGTTAGTGTTGGTGTCGAATACAGCAGTTGTGTTAAGGTCCATAAAGCATAAATTATTTCAGTAAACCACAAAACTTTTCACACTTCGAGTCTCTGAGCAGGATTTTCAGACTGAGCAAAATCCACTTTGGAGCGTGACAAATTTTTAAAATAAATCTAATCAAATCCGCCTTCGTCCGAGTCATTAAATTTCCCTTTATTGAAAATTTATATAATAATAATAATAATAATAATAATAATAATAATAATAATAATAATCTTTTATTTTGAAATGGGGGGGGGGGGCAGGTTTGACTGGCACTTCTCTAGTGACACCGACAGGTGAGACGCGCACTAACAGTTGGATTATGGTATACGGGGGGCCTGAAACTGAAACAAGGGAGCTCGCTGCACACATAGTCAGATTATTTGAAAGCAGAGACTCACTCACACAGGGCTTTTGTGCAACGCCGAGAGCCTTTTGCATTCTCAGGCATGCAGCCACACTTCCCCTTTTTTTCGAGCTGCAAACACACACACACGCACACACACACACAGCACGACTTCTTCACAAAGACTAAAAGAGATGCGTCGGTCCGGGTCGTGCCGCGTCGTTTAGATGTGATAGACATGCAAGCACCTGGGAAAGTGTGTGTTGCTATTTCTCTCTCTCTTTTTTTTCTTTCTTTTTTTTTTGGCTTGAGAATATGTTGCAGAAATCAAACAGGAACTGATCCAATGCATGTGACTTAAGAAAAGCAGGCCTCTGCAATGCAGCGTTTTGCACAGTGTGCTTGGTGCTCCGGGAGAAAAGCTTTCAGCGCTGCGCTGAGTTTACATGAAGCACGCTGCACTGAAGACCCGATTAAAACATCCAAATGAAACTCTTCAGATCGCCAAATATCTTTAACTGCACATTATCTCACATGATCCCGGAATTCACATCTTTATTTGCATTAATGGCCCAGTGTATAGTGCTGAATAATCCCGATGATATGCATCAACTAATCCTCTGTTTTCTATACTCCCCATCAAAGACGCTGATATTAATCTCATTACAGAAAACTGGTTTTCAGCGGCGCTGAAATAACCTTTAAAATAATTACCCACCCTCTTCACAATTTGTAAATATCTCCCTCCTCTCTGTCTGTCTGTCTTCTTTTTTCCCTCCCCTCGGTGGTTCGTGCACTCTGCCACGGCGACGGTTCAGCCGCTTTTTCCCTGTGAATGAACGAGCAGTATCCGGTGCTCTACCGCTGGGTAAACAATGCAACTGTGGCGTGCACTGGTCCGACAATAATGGGATTATCTTAAACATATAAACGGGGCGACACAGCCCAGAGAGTTGGCTTCCCCTCTGTCTCTCTCCCACTCTCTGTTAGTGCAGAGGAAGATGAAAAAATGACCTTATTTATGGTTCAACTCGGAAATCATTTGCGTCATGATTTTTTCCTTTTTACCTCAATATAAAAAACGTTAAATTCATATTTTTTTTATTTCAGTTGTCAATGGTGTTAATTTTTACCCCCATTTATTTATTTATTTATTTATTTTAAATAAATATAACGTCTTTTTTATTTGTTTTATTGGTGTTATTATTATATTTCATATTATTATATTTCTTTTTAAATCAGACCATTAAGGGAAATCTGTGAGGTATTTTTGCGGCTGTTTGGGTTAAACTGACTCCTGCGGCCTTAAACCTCCATGTGAGGGATGAACGTGCTGATTATGGGCATTTATTTTAGAAATCTATGTGAGATTAAACACGGCTGATCATTAAAGGCTGCAATTCTGGGGAATGCTGTTAGATCAAAAGGGAATGTAATAAAGCGCACGCCTACCTGAAGTGGACCTTGTTTTTGGTCTTGTTTTGGAACCATAACTAGAAGATGACCCACCTATCAGGCTACTTGGTGGGAAGAGGCCTGGGCCGTATTCAGGGACATAGGGTGGGTATGTGGCGATGGGGTGGTGGGCAGAGGATGACCCTGCTCCGATTGATGCCACGCTCCGGCTGTGAGCTGACTCCAGTTTCATACTCTCGGCCAGGGTCACTTGGTACTTTATGCACTCTTTATCCTCCTGCCGCCCGGAGCTGCTGGAGCCGGGGGTAGATATGCCCGGATCCGGGGATACGTCTTTGGGAGGGGTCGGGGGAAACGTGAAGAGGTGTGGACTGGAGTGACCGGTAGACAGGGAGGAGGAGGATGAGGCTGGGGGGTAGACGGACAGGCTGGCCGGGGAGCCGTGGTGCAGGTTCTTGGGAAAGGGGCTCAGGTTCCAGGGAGAAGTGCTGTGGTGTGGGGGGATTCCTTTGCTCCCCTCCAGCCAGGGCAGAGAGCCGTGCAGTAATGAGGGACGGCACACCTGGCTACCTGAGGCAGCACAGAAAAACAACAGAAAAGATCACAACCTGACTTCACTCTGCAGCAAAAACAAATACACATTGCCATTTAGAGTTGTCGGGCTTCAGGCCTGAAAAAGCAGGATTTAAGCTTTACACACAAATTAAGCAAACAAATCAGATGACATTTCTTTATTTCTTTTTTATTATTTTTTAAAATTATTCCACACACTGAAGCAATCATTCACTGTGACCAACATCCAGTTCTACATTAAAAAAATCCTGACAGTTTGTTTACACGTAGAAATTATTTGAACCCCTCTAGTGTGTAGAAATCTGAGAGTTTCATGTGGCCACGCACGTGCGTAAATTTACCCTTTAACCTTCCTATTGAGCGGGCCTAAATGCAACATATGAATGCATGTAATTCAAAAGTAACTCGACTGTTGAGGAAGTTAAAGCCTACATCATAGGAAACTTCATAAATGACTACGCGTCAGTGACTGGCACATTAGAAAATAGACAGTTGGAGTGTGAGAGCAGAAGCCAAAAAACAAAACAAAAAAAACATAAATACCGAAGTGTTCCAGGTGTTTTCTGTGCCAACGCGTCTATTTGTTTAAATCCGTAACTAAACAGTCGATCGATCCAGAAAACAAATTGGGCACAAGCTTTTAAAAAAGGGAAAAAAAAACTTCAACATATGAGTCAGCTCATGTTTGTGAACTTTAAACGGGAATTGACTTCAGTACGAGCCATACTCAGAAACCATACGCGTAAACTACACATATTCACGCCGTGGTTTCACAACACTTGAGTTTTATAAGTCGAATCAACCCGGGCTAAAATCGAAACTCGTTTCTTTTTTTTTTCTTTTTTTCCTTTTTTCTTTTGTCTGGGTCACAGTGAGAAAATAATTCCGAGCTGTAATGGAGCCTGCCTGCAATTACGCACGGGCATCCAAACAAATAAAAGGAGCAAATGATTAAATAAAAGGCCTTAACAGGCCGTTTACTTACTGTGTGGAGGAGGAGGGTACCTCTGGACGGCTCGGACAGAGTTTCCATAGTATGGAGAGACGTGGTTCCCCTGTCCATCGATATTAAAGAGTACATCCACATCTTCAGCGAGGGGATACTGCGAAGGGTCCATGTATGAGTGGCCGAGGCCCGGGTGATGTGAGCCAGGATGCTGTTCGTTCATCACCGCGGGATGATGGCTTATCCATCGTGGCTGGTCCGCACTTACTTCCATCGCTTGATTTCTTTAGATATATTTTTTCGTTGCTTTAGTAAATGTTCATGCACGCTGAAGCAAACTGGTACAAGTCAAAAGATAAGAAATAAACTGTCCCAAATCCGCGTGTTTGTTAAATCCACAGGTTCCGCGCTTGCTTCCGATCACCTGGAGACAGAGGGGAGAATTTATTGTCTTATGTTCTCACATTTGTTTACATGCAACGCTTCTAAAACTTGGCAGGACGCTCACGCTTAAGCAAATTCACACGCGATTTTTTTTTAAACAAAGACACAGAAATTAAACAGGGAACATACCCAACATTACAAATGCAACTGAGGTGCTGTCACAGAAATACGTCCAAAATGGAATCCGGTCCCACGCAGAGCTCCTGAACTTCTTCCTCTTAGCAAACAAACAGCGAGAAAAAAAAAGTCAGTGTTTCAGCTCAACAAGTAGCGGAGGCTCGCACGGGGCGCAGGCAGGGCTTGTTTGCAGTGGATGGCTTCACTGCGCACTGACCAGCACCAGCAAGTTAAACTCACTGATCAAATCTCTGTTTGTGCGCAGTTGAAGCCCTCTCCATTAACTCCGCTCCTCTCTCTCTCTCTTTCCCTCTAGGTCTGTGAGTCTCTTGCTTACTCACCCTTGCCCTACCTCTCTCTCTCTCTCTCTCTTGCTCCTTCCAGTCCCCCTTCTTTTTTCCTTTCTCTCTCTCTCTCTCTCTCTCTCTTTTTTTTTTTTTTTTTTTTTTTTTTTTTTTTTTTACAGTGAAGGCATTCTTTCAGGATGGCGCCAGGCAGCTCAATGCTTGCAGACAGCTGTGGCGCGACGCAACTTAAGGAGGGTCTGTCAGTGTCATCAGTTAGGGGAGGGGCCTGCTCTAATTGAATATAACATTGGGCCGAGGAAGATATAGAAGAGCTGCAAGAATTTATTACCTTTTTAATGTTTGTTTGTTTGTTTTTTCTCTGAACTCATCAAAAGAGGTATATTTATTTTAAATATGAAAATTGTACTTTAGTAAGGCCTTATACACTTAACAGCTGTCTTATGCATGCAAGCGTGCTAGGTGTGCAAAACTCGTTGTAGGAAGTTATTTTATTTTGAATTAATCTATAAAATATGATACCTACGTTTATAAACTTAAAAAGGAAAACTTATAAATTCACCTTCAGCGTCATTAAAGTTGACAAGTATAAAAATGATAACCAAAAATAAAAGTTTTAAACTCCTTTTCTAAGAAAAAAAAACTTTTATTACAACAGCCACTAAAGTCTGCGCTTTTTCCTGCTACAGTTTGCGAGAAGAGAAGAGCAGAAGCTGCTGCAGAGCCTGTTGCTCTGGGCCAACGGCATGTTGCGGGACATTTATGCTCTTAAAATTGTGACAGTGCGTCCTCTCGCGGTGACAGCCACATTATTCTAATGGCAGATCCAAACTGAGCCGATTTCCTCACCGTGAAGCCGGCACGGACAGGGACGCCTGGGTGACTGAGCCTCCAGTTTAAAAAAAAATGAAAAGTTTAAAAAAAATAGTTATAATGTAAGCTATTACTGGCTGTTACTTAACTCAGTCGGTATCTGTGCGGTAGCTGCAACCTGTTCACCGCAGCTCAGACAGACGAGCAACAACGAGCGATGTCAAGATTTATTCACAGCAGTGAATAACACGCATTGATAACTCGCACTGCCAGTGACTGTAGCCCGCCTCGCTTTGGCCAGTTTTTCTTTTTAAATAAACAAACTGGAATTTAAAAGGATGTGTTCGCCGTGACACGGCCATGATGCCCTATGTCTTCCACCTGAGAAACAGTCCCCCTCTATCCCTCCCCGTGGGCAGGTGTGTGTGTGGGAGGGGGGAGGTTTTTTATGTCTAAATCCCGGTTTGATCTGCGTATACTGTCAGACTGGCGGTGTGTAATAGTAGCAGTGTGTGTGTGTGTGTTGGGGGCAGCCACTGGAAGTGACGTCACCGCGGTGTAAACAGTCAGGAAATGAATCCTCTCGCGGCGGCTGCGGGAGCGCGCACGCCCTCGCACCACGTAGGTATTGGCATGAATTTGCTGTGGGTGTAATATCAGGTGGGGGTCACTTCCTTAGAGTGGGGGGTTGGTACCAAATAAATAAATAAAAGCATTAAGGTGATCAATGAAGACGCCATCAGACAGATTATTTAGCAGGTGAGTCCTCAGTTGCATGCGCACAGGTGATGGCTCATTCATTCAATCCCGTCTGAAATTATTAAACTTGCTCTTAACCGAGCGCTTGGGAGCACGGGCAGAGGAGGACTTGGCAAAGCGTGCTATTTTTCCCTCTCTCCAGGATAGCCCTACCTGGGGAGAGGGAGAGCGAGCGTTTCTCACACAGGCAAAGCCCGAAACTGAACTTGGACGCAAACTGCTGTAGCTGCCATTGTCAGGCTGTCAGCTGACTCGTGTAATTATCCTCTCGAAAAAAAAGTATCGCGGAGCGTTATCCACAAAGTAGCCGTTATAGGTGCTCGAAGGCAACACACGACGGTAAAATGTGGCCTAAAATCCCGATTATGTGTTTTTGTTTCTTGACTGGATGCATCGAAGCTTAGAGAATGGGACATGGAAGCCATCCCATCACTTGAGTCCCCAAGCCTCGGTGTCAATAACGCCGGGGCTTATTCAGCGCGGGATATAAGACTGCCTCTCCTTTTCTTAAAAAAAATAATAATAATCCTAAACTGTCGTCACGAAGGGAGAAATTGTGGCTTTGGCTCTTTTTTCTGTGTGTGTGTGTGTGTGTGAGGACGAAAAAGCAAGAGGGGCTAAAACGAGCCCACATTAGTCTATTTTTGTAGTTAATTGCCTACAACTAGTACCGATGCTGTGCGTAAAGATTTGTTAAAGGTTTATTCATAAACGCGGGCGAGGGTCCAGTCCTTTTCTTGATGGCTTAGATAATTTCTGCGAGATTATGTTAGCCAGCTTTGATTAAAATCGAGCCACTTTTTTTTTTGTTCTCTTCACTGCAGTTAACACAAGAACGGATTATTCCATTGCCTGTGTGTGTGCTTGTGTGTGTGTTTAGGGGGATCAAATGTTTTAGATAACGTCTAATGCTTGCGTGCATGTGCGTGTGTGTGTCTGTGCGTGTGTGTGTGTGTGTGTTTACTTTGTTCCTCAGCGTCCCGTGTTCACAAAATTACAATCATTGTTTTCCCTCATAAATAAAAGTTTCCTTCCGCCAGCTGATTAATCAAAGGTCAGCGAGATAAAAATCATACTATAATAATACATTAGATGGTGTAACAGTTATGCCACCACCAGTGAGTGTTCGCCCACTGCTACCACTACAGTAATATCAATACTTTTTTGAAAAGGAAAAGAAATTCAAATGATATGAGTAGCAGCTCGTGTGAGGTACATTTAGAGCCAAGAAGAAACAAGAGGCGCTATTTTAAAATAATATTGAAAAGAAATCGCCTGTGCGCATGCGTGTGTGAGCATTTACGGCCTTTTATCTGGGGTCGTAATGTGTCACGTATCTTTATTTATTCTGGCACTCACAGATCTAAGATACCCAGCCAGAATTAGACTTAATTTTTGTGAAATATAATTTTTTTTTAAATATTTTTTTAAATCAAAAAGCACTTTGGCGCAAGAAAACACACGACATAAGAACATAATCCAAAGAGCTTCTGTGGAAAAAAAAGAGAGATGCCCAGCCAGTGATTAAAAATGCTACGGGCTATAGTCATGCTGTAAATTGTGATATTTTTTACTGGTTAAGCGCTCATTTATACATTTTGAAACCTGTATATTACCGCAGGTAACCTATTTGTTTCTTACTCAGTGAGTCATTTGTCACCTTTCTAGTCTTTTCAAGAAAAAAGTGGGGCTGCTTTTCTGTCAGCATGGGAACCAAGTCTGGTTCTTAGAACAAAACTAGGGCGTAAAATTCTGCTTGTTGGGCGCGTGAAACTTAAAAACAGAACTGGCTTTCCTAGAACGATTTAAATGAGCAAGAGCTGAAGGATTGATCACATTTTCTTCGAGTGTATTTAAAAAGAAAAAGAAAAGAAAAACTAGCACATCAGATTTTGTGTCATTCTTCCCAACGAAGAAGAAAAAAACAGAGCAAAGAAAAAAAGGGGGCTGCCAATTGACTGAGTTGTGATTCTTATCTTTATATCACGTCTCGCCAGACGCACTGATGTAATCTTTCATTTGAGGTGCAGGGCCTTTTCACCTCTTGTCTTGTGCATCTCCAAACAGAAGTCATTCATCATTCAGGCACTAAATTGTTTGGCTGATTTTTTTTTTATTTTATTTATGTTATTAATCTTTGTGATTTAAATGAGTTTAAAGTGGAGCTCGGAGTGCTAGCAGCCTCTCTGACACCTCATGCAATAACGAAATTTCGATTGTGACGGGAAATTGGAGTGAAAGTGCTATCCGCTCGAACGGTCCGCTGCTTCTTCTTCTACGTTTTTAATCCGAGTTTATATTATTTTAATAATAACACCGTATTTTTTTATCCTTTTATCCTTTTTTATCCTATCGAATCCTATCCTCTTTTTAAAGAAGCGAATAAATGATGGGAAGAAAAAAAACATCAAGGTGTCCGAGGGTTTCTCTCGTGTTCTGCTCCCCGCGTGCAAATAACCATTGGAGCTTTTTGGCCCGTGACTGTGCGCGTGTGATGCCCCTGATTTAGCTTCCTATTCATTCTAAACAGCGGCTCTCTCCCTCTCTCTCACTCACACAAACACACCGCCATCTCGAGACACAAGGACCAAAGACGAGATGGAGGAAACTAATAACGGGCTGGGTGTGTGTGCGTGTGGGGGTGCAAAGCAGCCTCAGCAAGCCCAGCTCCTTCTTATGACCCGCCGGCAAAGGTAATCAGATCAATTTCACGGCTTGTATGGGATTCTCGCCTGCACCACCAGGTAATGCGAGAGGTAATGGGTCGCTAAAAACACTCATCTGTGCTATTTTAGGTGTGGGTTAAATAATCTAAGAAGTGAAACCGGCTGTCGTTTAGCCTTTTTACATATCAATCCGTTGACTCAGGCGAGCCAAAGAAAAAGAAATGCTAGCTTAATTATCAGCCCGGCCAACCAAAGCAAATTTCGCTTGCGCTGCTAATAAATAAAAGGATAGAGAAAGCAGTTAGCATTAAACGCAACAATGGCGCTCGTTATGGATGTTGTAGCCAGTATTGTCAACACTACCCCCCCCCCCCCCTTTTTTTTTTTTTTTTAATTCCACCAAGTGCACACAGAGCGATGTTGAGGGGGAGAGATGAAGGTGTAACGGGTAGCTTCATCTCCGGCTTCACTGAAGTCCAGTCAAAAAATAAATAAATTTAAAAATGTTACCGCTTTACTCATAATTTTCGTTTATAGTCATTTAATCTAGCACCCAAAAAAAGCACATTCACAAAAGTTTCCCATCATTCTCAGACCGTCAGTGAGCTCGCAGACAGGCTACAAAGCCACCGAGGGAAGCGGCAGCTCATTGGATGGGGCATTTAGGATGCGGCGGCTTCAGAGCAAATCTAAATATTTACTGACCTGCAGTGGACGCTGGACGGGTGGAGGCTTTTTTTTCCGCAGACGTGAAGGAAGAGTGACATAGAGATGGAGGCGCCGATGGCATTTAGAGAGAGGCAGAGGAAAAAAGAACGAGAGGGCGAGGAGCTGTGGACGGGGAGGGGAAAAACACAC